CAGATCCACTAAAACTATATAAGTGTACTCGTTATGAATCTGGCATAATGTATTTTTTTTTGGTTCTTGCCTTTGCAAAACTGAAAACAAAAGGATTATCCCCAGGATGCAGCTTCAAAATGACGATTCAACTTGAACAACGGTGGCGAAGAACCACATAGAGGTAAGCTAATGAAAAAGCTTTACAGAAGTAGTCTAACAGAAGATGACATGTAGCCAAATTGATTATTAAGAATCTTTTTGACACTCAGCTAGATTGGGCAAGAGTCCTACCAGTGAAAACAGGACTAAACAATATTGTATTTCTTGGTCCATGGTCTAGTGAGAAACAACAAGTATGACATGACATCACATAGTAAAAATTACTGATAAGTGGATGATAAGAGATGATAGCAAAGTTCTCTAAGAGCATACGCATATCAATCTCTCTCACAGAGAGTATATAAACACAGAAGATTTAATTTTTGAAAGGTTTAATAGAAAAGACAGACGCATACTTAAGACTCAAACAATGGAAGACTCAACTAGTAGACTCAACTCCAAACGACTAGTTGACAATGTCAAACCACTAGCATATGTTCTGAGGTAGAATCTGGTAAGGTGCCTTGAATGTACAATTTCCACCAACGATGGATGAATGAGGCAGACTGACGGAGATGCTCTCTTCGACATCGAAGAATTGGACGTAGTTAGGGGACATGCCAGGGAAGGAAGAAGCAGGGATAGCGAACGGATCAGACTTTGAGAGGAGGGCCAAAGAGGCAGAGAGAACTCGTGAAGATACAGCTTGGGAGGTATTTCAGAAGAAGAAAAACGATCCAAGTCCAAAGAAGACACAAGCTTTTAACAAAGCTAAGCGAGATGCGGAAAAGACGCAAGCTTATAATATTGGTGTGGTGAGCCATATTTGTATGCACTTGCTTAAATTGGGCTTATGAGTTTGCTTTTACTTTGGTTTTGTTTTCTTTGGATCTTTTAAAATTATGTTGTTTTATTTTGATCCGATGACGTATGTCACATAACAGTTAGGGGCGGACATAGGCTTATGAGGCGTAGAGCACGTATCACATACTCATTTTCATAATTCATGTAATTTTTAGTTAAATTTTGTAATATATCTATTCAAATTAATAAAAAAAATTAAATTTCATAGGATTGTGCCCAAGCATGGACCAAATGGGTATGAAAAAAATGCGACGACCCACAGAGTCGTACCCAATTCTAAAAGAAAGGGTCTGTGTAATATTTTTGTACTAAAAAAGATCCAAACTGTTTTATATTCTAAAATATTATAACTAAATTTAGGCCCAAATATATAAAACTTTAATCTTTTTTTCAAAAATAGACAAAAGAGTTTTTTTTTTTAATGTCCAAAATATAAAAAATTCTCTTAAAATAACTAAAAGATCCATAAATTTTTATCCTAAAACCTCTAATTATATTGGGCCGACACTGATTATGCCCTAGGTAAATATAATTTCTGCAACCGCCAATGATAACAATATGATTTATTATCATTTCAAAACCTTTACTTCTCAACACAGATTCAAAATATTTCCTATTGAAAATATGTATCTATGCGGTAGAAAAGGAAAGAATATGTAAATACTAAATACTAATTTGAATTGGGATAACTTACATCATGATAGTATATTAGTACGTATTAATGTAAATAAATTACTCTTTTTTCATGCTAGTAAAATTAATGAGTTTGATTACGTTTATAGTCTTATTTGTCCATTAGTGCCAAGTGCACGAGGCTTCTTTGTCCATCGATCAAGGTCAATGCTCCGTTGCTTTTTGCCAAAGTCAAACAAAAGAATTGGCTCTGACCACATCGTTCATTGTGTTGCGTCGTATGGGAACGCCCCTTAGGCCACCCTCGTGCCGTTCACGTGTCACATTTGCCATGCATCTTCACATTTGGGTAAAAATTAACATCATCAATCATCTGTATTATTATAGAAATGGATTTGGGAGCCTTAAATATTTGGTTTTGTAGAATTATGATGTTTTATCATGATCACAGAACATGATTCATTAGTATTATTTATTTTTGGGTGTATAGCAGTATAGGTAGTTTTTAAGAGAAAAAGTAATTTGTTAAATGTAGTATAGTATTTATAATTGTTGATATCTAATCTCTTGTTTTTTACACGTTTTAAAACCTAGACTAACTCTGAACCGACTACAATCCGAACTAAACACAAACAAGTGAACATGACTTCACAAGAACAAACCAAAGTTTCAAAGATTGCGATTTCAAAACCTTCCCGAGCTGACCAAGACCAAACGGGAGCGTTTGCATTCGTGTTGCAACTTGCAAAGAGTGAACACTTGGTGGAGTCACGATGCACCGCCAGTGGTACGGTAAAAATGCAAACGAAAGCTGTAATGGTGTTCAAGCTTGACGAACAAGGCAACACAGTTCACACTCAAGACATTGAAGACCTCTGTATTTTCCTCTCAAAGTCTGAACCTTTTTGTGTCGCTACTAGCTCCTTCCCTGGTATGTACTCTAACAGTGGCGAAGTCTTGGATGCGACGGAAAAACCTTTGTTTGTCTGCGTTATTCCTCCACCATTGGTAGAAATTATATGTGTGTGGCCGCTTCTTACCATATTCCACCTCAAAATATAGACTAGTAGCTTGGAACTGAAAGTCTTTAGTCATGCATTCACAAGTAGATTTCACTATTACCAGTTCATAGCTAATTGGATTGGTGCATGTTGTTGTTGTTCCAGTAGTTTTGAACATTTTTGAGATAATATTGGATTTGTCACTTCACTTTGAAAGTCGTTTTGTTGGCTTTCATAGGCCTTTGGTTTGGGATATCTGATTGAATCAAAGAATAGGTGTTGTTAAGGAAAAACCAACCGATGATCTCGCTCCTCTCTCTCTCTAATCTCGAACAGAAAGGTACATATAACACCATTTCCTCTGTTTCTACTCTGTAGAAGCTCGATCAAGTCTGGATATGTTATGTTTTATGAGGTTTTAAGATTATCTATGGTTCTTCTGTGTTACAGAAACTGAGCATGATGGTACTGAGGATGAGTTGGTGGAAATTAGTGTTGCTCAAGGTGTGATTTCGGGGAAGGATGCTTTTGAGAGAGTCAAGCTTATTGGTGATGACAAGGCTAAAGAGTTGAATAATTGCTTTGTGTATTAAGGAGCAGCCAGATGCTTGAGCTACTTGCTTATACCATGAAACCTGAATTTTGAGGATTATTTCATGGTTTGTTTTAGTCTGTTGACAACTTTGATTTTGATGTGTAGTTTATGTTGGTATTGGTGGAACCTTAATGTGTTGGTTCATCTTTATGAATGTGAAAGATTTTATGGAAGAAGAAGATAACATTATAAGTTGTTGCAAAAGTTCTTTTCAAGTTCATATAGTTTCTTTAGATATCAATTCCAACACACTTTTTACATTGCACCTGAAATCAAAAACAGAGATTTTGGTCGTAGTCCGATGTTGTTTAATTCTGAGGTTTCTGGACAGAACATGTAATTCAAGAGGCATCCAGAATTAGCAATGCGAACAAAAACTCTTCCAATGTCCTTGTCTTGTTTTCCTTTACCTCTGCAATTCTCTTAAGCACCAAAAAACATTACTCAATCAGACTTAATTAAACTCATATTCAATTTCCAATCTTTTGTATATACAAACAAATAATGAACCAAACAAACAATTAAGCCACCAATTTGTTGAGCTACAAAAGAAATTCAAATGCGAATCAAATCTTCATTTAGAAAATAAACTCAGTATTTTCGATTGTTTCAATAAACAAACTAACCTGTATAATCCCAAACAAATCAGAGTGATCCAAGTAGATCAGAAGC